GAGAGTTTGAATAAATCGCAAGCAACAAAAAATCACTAAATAAAAAGCGACAAACAACCACAACGCAAATATACTGTACTTTTAAACGTTTTCGTTTATCTCTTTCCAAATCTTCTTTTGGATCTATAGAATGGGTATAATAAAGTGAAAAAATAATAGTATATAACTATTTAGTCGCATATAAAAATAATTTTAATGTTATCATAATAAGTATTTCTTATCTGAAAATGCGTCTGTATGTATTGTTGTTGTATAAAAACGATCTTTCGGAGAAAGTGCACTCCATGCATTAAGCTTTTTTTTGACGTCATCCAGGAGATATTTTCTAGAATTTCCGGTGGTATTAAATGTATTCATATTCATAATTTATGTGCCTTGGCACTAGCTCCGCTATAATAAATATTGTATATTTTTTTTTTCTTGCAAGATATAATTTCCGTTCAAGATGCCATCAAAAAAATCTGACAAAGATGATTCGGCGAAGTCTTCCAAGAAAAAAACAGTTCCATCCCGCTTAGCTAAAGAAGATATCACTGCCATAGTATTTGCCGAGCAACTCAAAGCCGGGATAAAAAAAGTTAATGCCCATTACCATATAGGTTCTACAACGATCAAAAAAATATGGGCGTCATCCAATCCTTATGAACATGCCAACTCGATAGGGGAACCCAACTTGCCTGAATGGTATAATAAGAATGCTAAATTCAAGGAGTCTGAAACATCTCCCAATGCCTCTCAAGAAACAGTCTTACCTGAGGAAACGAAGCTTCTCGTTAAAGAACCCAATATAGTTAAGCAAGATATCAGTGAAAAACGAAAAAAGAAAGAGGCTGAAATGGAGCGGATTGCAAAACGGATCGTTAGATCAGAATTGGGTAGGATAATCCAAGCTGAAGACTGAATAAATTCCAGGGTCGTTCTCCATATTTCAAATAATAATGCTTTGTAGCAGAGTACAATAATATTAATTATTTATCGCAATAGCAAATTCCCATATTTCACGAATTTGTGCGTATGATACATTATATTTTTTAGCTAGATTTGGTAATGCATTTGCTGAACCCTCAACAGTAATTATAACACTAATTGCTTCGGGTGATAAGTGTGTAGCACCTGATATTAATCTTTTAATCATTTATATATGCAGAAAAAAATATTATTGGAGAAAGAATCATTCCGGAATAATACCCGAAGTTAACTTATATTTCCATTGATGCTTATTACTCTATGCTTTCACTGTTACTATCTGGATTGAATTTTGATATTTATTTCCCCAGCATCTGAGGCGATAAGTGCATGTATTGACATAATCACCACTGCCCCACTCACCTTTTATATAATTTTTTATATTTTCATTTTTATGATTATTATTGCATAAAGGGCAGGTTATTGAACAGTCAAAATAATCATTATCCCCACTGCTATATTTCAAAGATAAATTGGGAGCCTTTTCCAATACCATTTTGATAACATGTTTTTGTTTCTCTTTCGGATCATCGGGTAAGACAGAAATTGAAGGTCGGGATTTGTTAGATATATTTATAGTTTCGGTTTCTGGTAAAGATGTAGATACTTCACTTACCTCGACTTCTGATACTTTTTTCAGGCCAGAAGATTTGTTACATTCACCTATTATATCTTCCGAATTGCCGGAGGCAGTCATGGAGTGGCTAGAGGTATGTGATTTCTGAATAGAGGGAGTGGATGATGATGTGCTTGTCTCCTGTGTACTCACCTCAATTTCCGGTAAAGTTTTCTCACCTATATCAGTTTTGGTTAAGTTATCTGAAGAATTGCAAGAGGTAGACATATGTGCATGACAAATTGACACGCCGATCACTTTTTGACATTCAGCTTGCTCGTTAACTAATTCTACATTAGGCTTTTCAGAGAAAAGCTTTATTATATTTTGGATTTGAACACCTGTTAAACTAGAAATAGCATCAGCACTATACGTAACTTGTTTGATTTTATCTATTCCTATTTCTTTGAATAATGTATAAATATTTCTAGCCTTTTGAGTTTTCTTACGCAAATACTCTCTCTTAATGCCAGGAAGAAATGGAACCATTTCATTATAAATCTGTGTTCTCGCCATTTGATCGTTAAGTTCGTTTTTAAAGCTAATGTCTGTTACCTTTTTTTCGAATTCCTCACTATAACAATACCAACGTAAAATTTCTTTCTGGCCAGTTTTTTTAGCCTTGTTGAATAAATGGGTCAAACGTGATGCAGAACCTGGGGTTGAATCATCTCCATCTAGCATGTTTTCAAGAATTTGTCTATCAGGTATGGGATTCGAAGGGCCTTTCTCGTTAATAAATGTAGATAACTCACATATTAAACCTTGTTCAACCTTTTGATTATAGGGAATTTTTATTTCGGAAGAAATAGCACTTTGTTCCTGATTGGATGAAGAGATAATAGACGATTTAGATTCAGAAGAAGAAAGTTTTGTATCTTGAATATTTAGATCTTTATTAAGTAATGATTTCTCTGCTTCGTGTATGGAAGCATTCTTATTCGGTGATATAGAAATCTTAGGGATGGTGTTCTCAGGAGTTGAGAGTAACTCTTGATCCCGAAATTCATTTTCTACCTTCTCTTCCAGGCGACGTAAGTTGCTTTGCGATGCAAATGATATGGTTTCTGCAGGAGATGTAGTGGTTGCCGAATCCTGGTATATGTCAGAATTAGATGTGTTATTGCGAAGCAATGGCTCTTCGAGCCTAGACTCCTCATTACATGAGATTATCTGTTCAGAAGTATCGTTAGAATTTGTTTCATCATCTAACGATATGGTATTAGTATCGATGTACTGGTGCTGTTCCAATTTCGCTACTCTGTTTCTAAGCTCTTTGTTTTCTTTTGCTGATTGTTCTAATTCGAATATTCTGGTATTAAGTTCGGCATCTCAACTTTGTATTTTCAGCATCTTCTTTTATAGATTGTTCTAATTCTACAATTCTAGCCAAGAGCTCGGTATTTTTACTTATAAGTGAATCCTTCTCTCTTCTAAGCTTATCAATCTTGATTACGAGCCTGGAATTCAATTCTCTCAATGAGGAATCAGAAACTTGAGTTTTCAACTCATCGTCTTTAGATTGCATGTTTAATATCAATCTATATAATTTTGTCAAAAATGTTCGGAAGAATATTGTATACGTCTTGAAATATTTTTATTGATTTACGCCTTTAATTTCAAATAAAAATCACATGCACATGAAGAATCTTCACACCGATCACTTTTGTCAAGAAAAAAAATAATTATGATTGATATGTTTACAGTATATATATGATGAATCAGAGATTCGAGGCTTTGCCTCATAATTCAACCACCAGGGTCGGCTTTATTAATATATGAAAAATAAAATACAAGATAGAAATATGATACTCTAGTAAATTTATGTGTCAGAGTCACTATTACCTTGTAATGACTCTTCGAGTCTAGCTCCGCTATCCGAATCATCTAATAACTTCTTGGTGGAGAATATGTGGTCGACATCATTGATGATGATGGTGTCTGATCTTCTGTAAATAGACGTGTGGGTTTTGTGCTAAAAAAAAAGTATTACAATTAAGTAATTGATCATGACCCAATGAAATAAAATTTCCTCGGTGGGTACAATTAAATCACTCTTTACAATGTAGCTTGATGGTTTTATAAACCGCGGGAAGTCTTCGCAACCTTCCTCTTCTCACTACGCCTTGCTTAGAGGACAATGACCACTCCCGAGAAAAAGGATGCCTCAAAGAGATGCCCTTAAAGGCCAGAAAAAAATATAAAGTGAAGCTTTTTCACATTAGGGAGGGAACAGTCGGATCCTAGGCCTGCCTCGAAAGGTGATGACTGCCCCTATACTTCAAGCTCCACTTAATATAATGAAATTACATATTTCTCTCGCTACCTAAATAATATTCATTTAATATACCTTTTCTAGATTATAGAAAATCTTTGCTGTCCTGCTCGTCTTGATTATTGTAGTTCGTGTTGAGGATAGAGGTACTTTATCTATTGCCATATTGGTAGAATTTCTAAGCTCCACATATTATTTGTCCAATCGTGAGATTTCACAAATGCATTTTAATCCGATGTCGTGTATTATTATGTAATTAATGGATCTTCTCTGTTTTACGAATAAATAAGAGGCATCTATTGTTGTTGTATAAAAACGATTAAGCTTATTTTTTTTTGACATCGAATGAGGCCTGTGCGTAGTATAAGATATACCAAAATTTTTGATTTACCTATCAGCATGAATCCACAAATAGTTGGGATCGGCAAAGGTAACGGATCGCCCATAGTAGATAAATTTTTAATGAGGTGACCGCGTAATTCGAAAAAACCAATGATTATTGATAACTTTAATGGTGTGTACCTATAGCGAATCGACAATCAACGCCAGAGAGATTCTGAAATACGTATAAAAACCGCTTGAACTTGAATTCGCATAATTTTTCTACTTCATAACCACAACATTCGAATAAATATACACAAAGTTACTGCAAAGCAATAAAAATCTGTTAATCATTCAAAAAATAAATAAATTAATAAAGCATCATAAATTAATCAAAACTACATCAAAATTTTCTTTTAAAAAACTAGTCATATATTTGTTAAATCAAAGGTTTATTATACCAAAGTAAGTGGTCTCTGACTTATATTGATAAATCGATTGTTTTTTTTTATTGAGTATCCTTTTTAATGAGTTTATGCGCTCACATTAATACCTACAGATGGATACAAATATCTTAGAATATTTCAAACAAACGCCATCAGAAAATTATTTCATTTTTATACCAATCTTGA